GTTAGAGTCCCTCCCTCCCCATTCAAGTGAAAATAGCTGCTACACTGCACCTTGAGTAAGAACAGCAGGCACTTCTTTCAGAATTTATTCACACATGCCAGTGGATGAAGAAGTGATGAAGAAGTGAAGTTACAGGAGCCTCCCCTCCCTACCTGTTTATTTGACATGTAGCATTTTATTAGTGTCTCTCTCATCATGCCCCTTGGATATGAAAATGTCCTGCAATTACACGTATATCATTATCAGCCACTACTGTAAACATCTATTCTAGCTTCTTTAACAAAGAGGGCCCTAGACAATCACACCAACACCCAGCTGAGGACAGAGGGGACCTCAGTAATTACTATAATCCATATCCCAGAGAGATGGTATGGCAGTCTCTGTCACCCAAGGGCCTAGACCTGTCCCCAGGGCAGCCTCATTCACCCAACAGTCCAACCTTGTGCCATTAACGTGTCCCACACTGCTAGCATCAAGGGTTTAGGGGCAAATTACAGCAACTACTGCTAACAAGATTTCTTTAAAGTCAAACTCTTCCTGTTGAGGAAGAGTAATTAAAATCATTATGGGATCTAAGGTGTAATTTTGTGCCAACTTGCAACTCAAAACTCCTCTGCTAGTTAGCAAAGTTTGGGTAAGACAGCTTCTGGGGATTTGAGGGAAGCACAGAAAAATTCATAGTGGAGCTGAGAGAAAACCTGCCTTCCACAGAATGTTTAAATGGAAGGAGTTGTGTCCATGACCTTCTTTGCAACCTTGTGCAAATTTGACAAACTTGAGTGGGCAACCATAACTTGCCATTAGGTACAGCCATAAGCTTTTGAGCTATCATTTGAGTAAGGCAACAAATAAGCCAGGTGGGCCATATTAAAAATGGCTCTCAGCAAAAGGAGGGATCCACTTTATCAGAGTTAATGAAGAGCTGAAAAAAGTAATGTTTCTAATAAAATGGTAAAATGGTCTTGCAAGGATGTGTGCAAAATCAGCCATATCTACCTTTTTTACAGTCCCAACACCTTCTCTAATACTTGACAGAAATTTACATCAGTATACATTATGGCCCAGTTTTGTCTCCTAGTGAAACAAGTTACATTCAAGTTGGATCAAGCTGATCTCTATAATCTAACTAGGGACCTGGACACATAGCCAAAACGTGGTAATGGCAAGCTAGACAATCCAGAAAGAATGTCCCTGCTTGGCCGGTGAGATACAAACATCTGAGAGCCTCAGTTCACATCAATATTTCATCCATGCGACACATCTTGGCTGATCAAAAGCGGCTAAGGAAGAAAGACATATGAAAAGGACTTTTATAATTTCAGGATCTAAATTCAATCATCTGCTGTCTTTAAGCAGACCTTTCATCAAAACCCCCCATCATCCCTGTGAATCCTGCACAAAATCCAGCTTATTTGAATACATTTAGGGTTTTTTTTTTAATTTAACAAGATCAAAATTCATTGGATCCATCCAAGTTGACTTTAATTAGCTTAGCTGCCTTGCATAGTAAAGTGAAAATCAGCTTCACAAATTCAGCACAACTGCGCTGAAAGAGTCAACTACTTTAAAGAAACTAAGTCAGTTTCAATGTAACTGTTTGCATCTGGACCAAGTGCTATGACTGCATGACTTTGAAGACATTTATGTACTGGTCTTCTAAGAAACTTCCTCACAGACAGTCCCAAGATCACAAACAGTCAAGAATACTTTCATGGCTCATAGGACCATCTTCAAGGCAGTCGCATGGATGACTCGTTTGCACAAAACATTTTTAAAAGCATGCAGCCACCAGAATTAGTCCAGGAGCTATTCCACTGCTTCAAAACACTATATTGGAATGAATCTTAGTGACCTGAACAAGGTTTATGGTTTCTGCTTGAGGTCAGTGTTGACTACCAAGCATCCAGATGCTCAGTAATACTTAAAAGCCTGATAAAAGCAAGAAAAAACAAACAATTCTGTGACTACTATAGAAAGGTCATAAAGGAACAAACTGACATAAAACAACAAGAAGCTTACATTAAACATTAGAAAGAACGTTCTAGAGTTTGGAGGCAATGAAATGAAGCATCAAACACGTAGGTCACAGTTCACTGGCTTTGCTTTGTTTTAAGGGGCTGGGCCTTTGTCCTGCAGGTACTATGGAACAACTTTTACATCAGAATAACTGTGACAGATTCCCTTGTTGAATCTTGTGGGTCACCATTTAGTGGGGAAATAGGAAATGTAAGAGAGCCTTTACCCCTCTCACAGTGCCACAATTTCCAGGGTTCCCTGAAGAAATGGAATTATTCTTAATCTATTTTGTAAGTTTTGATTTGCCTTCTGTTTTGGAGAAAGTCAGGGTCCCTGAAATAGGTCCACATCACATGAATTGAGCATTCCTTGCCTTGTGGAAGAAATGTTTGTATCTTCCAGCTATACAGGTATGTCAGACCTAAACTGGGCTGCACTATATAAGTAGGGTTGTTTCTGTACAACTATCTGTCTTAGAAAAAATGAGTCAGGGTAAAGACTATTCTCAAGAACTTCCAGTCTTACCAGGAGGTGACTTCATGGGACCACAGCTGAGCCCATTTTTAACATGGAACCTTCCCCTGTATGTAGTTTTGTGCAGGGGATACATTGGAGCATCCTCTGAAATACCAGCTGCCTGCTTTCCCCAGAACAAGTACACCTGGGCTAGAATGTTCCCAGGGACTCATCTAGCCTAAAAAGCCTTGTGTGACTTGGTCTGCAGTTGAGACCAGGACAATTTGTCCGCATTTTCCTCTCCACTTGAATGTGAGAATATTTTGCTGCTGCTTTTGTGTGCTTCACTGCAGACAATGAGGTATCTCGAGACTTGGTTTCTTAGTTCGGCAGAGGATGGATGAGCTCATGTTTCTTTATATAGATATCCCGTCAGATTCCTCTCCATAGCAACACCTCCTGCTGTGACAGCCTCTGGGCTTGCGCTGTCAGAGAGCTTGGCTGCTTAAGCTTGACACCACATCCTACCCATCATTGCAAGCAGCATCTGCTCAAAGGCAGCAGAGCAGAGAGGGGCTAGAGCAGGTAAGTAGAGGGTGGGTCAGCATGCTGTTCCCCACATCATACTGCCTGTTACAGCCAGGAACAACTGAGCTGGCTGCCACGTTGCCTGATGCCACAGTGCCATCTCATGGTCAAATGTTCAGAAGACTTCCTGGAACATGAATGGGTGTGCATGCATGCACGCGCGCACACACGCTCACTCACTTTAATTCTTTTGTTAATAATATAGCCAGAAAATGTACCATGAGCACAGAAATATTTAAAGTGGTGTTGCATTGTTTGTTTTTTAGTGGGCTGGGGAGAAACTGATAATGTAAGTGCATCATGTAAAAAAATCATGATGGTCCAAATAGGGGTATTGGAGAAATCTGTAACAGATTCAATTATTTTGGATTTCTATAATCCAGTTTGTAGATTCTGCTGTGGACCAGTTTTTTCTGACTTACACATATCTTGCAGACGTGCAGAACATTTTCACACGGGGTGGGATAAGGGAGGAGATTTGTGGTAGTTCATATTAGTGCTAATGTGTATTGGTGCAATTTGTATAAGTGCATTTGGGCAATTGTGTAAGTGCTCAATAGCACTAATGCAAATTAGCACCCCTGTGAAGTAGTGCAAGGACAACTTTTTGGTTAAAAAAATTCTGATTCCATCAATGATGGATGATGGAATGTAAGACACTGGATAATTCATGAAAAACTGACATAATGGATTGAATAAAATCCATACACACCTAGATACAAGAGAAGTTCAACAGTACCTACCAAATATGAAAATTGTAGCAGCACCATGGATAGATTTTAACCCATAGGCAAAAGCATGTCAGGAGTCTACAGAGAAGCAGAAAGGCAGAAGATGCTTCCAGATTAAGGTCTCCTAGCACTAACACAGGAGGGTTACAGACTAAAGAACAGGGTTGCCTGGACCCCTCAGTAAAATTCTGTGAAGGCAATTGAACAATAAAAGTCTCAACTAGAAGCTCCCAGAACCAAGAGCCACCTGTATGCAACTCAGATCTGCAGTCCATTTAATTTTAATGCTCCATATTCAAGGCAGTCCTCCGTAGCCTAAAGGTCTGTGTGTCAGTTCTCTGCAATGGGTAAAATAACCCATTCACTTCCACTGTTTCTCTTGCTTCCATGCTCCTTCTTGCCTCAGTAGTGAGATAACTCATCTCCAAAACTAGAAAAGGCATAATTGATAAGGGGTGGGATCCAGGTTATAGCCCTCTCCCTCTGACCTTCCCTGTTCCACCATGTCATCCTCCCAAATTCAGAGATGGTCTGGCTCTCACCAGCTGCTTGGCTTATTTTGCAGGTCACTGGCCTTCAATATTCTGCTAAGCATTCTGACCATTCTTTTTTTAACAGTCTTTTTTCCAGTTCAGATTCAGAGTTTGAGGTATCCACCTTGGAATGCTGTATTTTCGAAGAAGTGGGTCCAGTCTCTACATTCTGCACAACTGACAAACAATTCTCTTACTTGTCTTCCCATCCACTCTGTGATGCAAGCTGAATCATTTCAGCCAGAACACATTTCTGATAGGCCATCCAGAGATTTTGATGTGAGAGCAATACTCAAACTCCACAACAAAGAATGGAATTCTAGTCATTCAGCACTCCACCTTCCACCTTGCTAGAGCTTTTCAAAAACCATATCGAAGTGCTGTTCTTTTAATAAAGCTTATCTGGCTGCATGAAACATGTCACTAAATTTTACAGTAACCTGAGCTAACAATCTGGATATTCGATTCATTTTTAGTCTTTTGTTCCCTTACTCAATAGACTCCGGGCCTCTCTACTTAAGTAAAATGGCACCAGCTCTGGATATATAAGACACCTGTACATGTGGGAGGTTAATCTAGGTATGCATGGCCAGAACAACCCATTACAAATAAGACTTCCCCTGCTGCCTGTAATGGTTCGGTCATGATTGCACAGGGCCCCATAGCCATGGCTTACCTGACAGAAGCACCTGTTTGAACTGAGGGTTACAAAAGGAACTGGGAGTGTACCGGTAGAGAGCTTCATGATCTATGCCTGTAAATGCACAGAAATCCAAGAGACAAACGGTCAGATTTTTTTTACATATCTCGAGCCTCCCCAACATGCCACCTGCTGGGCACTACAAGGACAGGCCAAAGCACCTGCCAGGCTATTTCATTCATTTATTCATTCATATTTGCATTTCTATGCCACTCCCTAGTCCTCATGAAGCAGCCATTTTTGTCCTCTGAATAAAGCAATTCTCCATTTACCTGTATAGGGATGGAGAGTTCAGCATGCTGAAAAATAGCGGAAGAGGGCTACATTTCTTCCCTACTGAGGACACATTACATCATTTTTGTATTTTGGACCCACACCACCAACAGTATCCCATTTATGTTGGTGCCCAGGGCATTTTTTTTCAAAATGCCAAATTCTTCCATGGACTCAGAAAGGTTGGAGAGCCCTGACATGTATAAATCAACATGTGCAGTCTTCCACTTTGAGTTCAGTTAAATCAAGGCATTATCATGACTAAAATAACAGTACATTTGCTAATAGCGCATTTGCTGGTGGACATCTGCAGGGACCATGGACTGCAGCCCTTGCTGTGTCACCAGGTCCGAAGGCTGCAGGCTAAACAACATGTTACCCTGATAAGCACCAGAATGCAACCCTAGCATGGAGGAAGGTAGGGGAGCTTTAACCTTCTCCCCACTCACCACTGCAATTCTGATCTGGATTGAGCCTAAACTGGACTGCGTTGCCATTTATTTCAGTAGGACCTCTTCTGGCAATGAAAAAATGTTTGGTGGGGCTGCATTTATTTTAGAAATATAAAAGTGAAATTGCTGGCGCCACCAAACTATCTCTGAGGCACCTGATGACTGTCTGTCACTACACTTTTTCTTATAACTTATATCAGTGTGGAGGAAAATGTCAATAAGGAGACTTGACTTGAGTGCTATTTTTCTTGGTCAAAAGGTGGGGTACAGATCCAGTATATATTCTTTACAGAGCTGCCCATGTCAAAATAAGCTGCAAGTTCCAGTTTGCCCAGTTGGCAGTGTTTTGTGAGTCCAGTAGTGAATACCTACACTTTATACTTTTAGCTGGGTTTGTCCAGATGTTGTTGCCTATCATCCCTGACCAGCAGGGGAAATGGTTAGGGATGGTAGGAATTATAGGCAACATCATCTGGAAAGATCCTGGTTGGGGAGGACTGCTTTCTGAAATGCATGTATTCAGCCTATTTATGGTCCATCTCAGTTTCACATCTTTTTATCTATAGTTCTATTCATCTGCAAGCTTTTTATAATAAGAAAAAATCTCTCAAAGCATATACTTAAATATGCATTTAATATTTACATGTATAGTTTCTTTCAAAATATATACTTAATTTGATACATCAAACTACTGAGAACTGTATTACAATATTTGGACACATGTGAAATCTAGCGATACCTGTGCATTAGTCCAAGAGACCTTTTCATAAAGGAATTCATAAAGGGCAAATTCCTACTTTGCTTTGGCTGGATGTGAAGCAAAGAAAATGCAAGCGGAGAGCCAACTGAAGAAAGAAATCTGCTTTTCCTCACTACTTGGCTTGCCTGCCTCATACTGATTTCCAGAAAAGTTGGAAGGTTCAGGCATTCCCTGTTCAATTAAACACAGCAGTCCCGCCATTAATTATTGAACATGCACTTTCTATTTAGGACAGACTCAGGGTGATTTATGAAATTACAACATATACAGCTCAGAAGTTTAGGATGCAGTATGAGGGAGCAAAAGGCTAAGTACCAAGAGAACTTTGCTCAGTACCTTCTTTTTCTAAAGCTTCAACAAGTCTCCTTACAACCAGCAGTGCTTGTTCGGGGAAATTTAAATGATCGACAAACTCCACCTGCCCAGGGGGCCCTGTTAGGAAGAGAGAGAGGGACAAACAAACAGACAATTTAACTCACATGTTTCTCATTCCAGTTAAAATGATAGCTAGGTCTGTTAAGCAGCATAGTAAGTGTCTCCTTTGGGCTCTCATTTACCAGGGATGTTTGGCAGTAGCCAGCCAAGTATCATCGCTGAAAAGAATAAAAATTAGTTTGGGTGCTATTTACAGCTACTAAAATAAATGGACAGATTTTGTTTGCAAACATTACCTTTGAAAACACCCCGTTAACTGCAAAATTTTTTTTAAAGAAATCCAAGAGATTGCAGTCAAAGAAGATCCATACAAGAGAAAGAAGAAGGAAGTTACAGACTAAATTCTAGTTGTAATATGAATTCAGAGTAAAGATGGGTATAACAGCTTAAAAGTGAAGTACCTGTATTCAGTGCCAAGATACATCTTTCTGACTAGAAGCAAATTCTGAAAAATGGGTTTACAAGTTTTCTTCATGGTTCAGTCTGAAGTATGGGAAAGGCTAGTTTTGGACATGCTTATGAGCTGGCAGTTAACATAACACACCTATTCCCATGGCAGTTCTGCATTTTTAAAAATAAGGCACTATGACTAGTGCTGCCACCAAAAAGAAGAAAAACAAGATTTTGGGTTAAATTGTACTTTTGATAATTTATACATTTGTTTAAACAGTAAAAACAGCAATCATAATAAAATCTATTAGGTTTTCAAGAAATTCTGCCCATCCTGGAACAGGAATGGTTTCACTATTGTAATGCTTACTTGCATAAATATTAAGTGTTCACCCTTTTGTGTCAATGCACCTTGTTTGACGCAGTTGCTGTGTGCCATCAGGTCATTTCCAATTTATGGTGATCCTGTGAATGGATGCCCTGCCAAATGTTCTCTCCTTGACAGCCCTGCTCAGTTCAAGGCCACAGCTTCCTTTATGGAATATGTCCATCTCAGAGTTGGTTTTTCTCCTCCTCTTCTGCCTTCAACCTTCTCTAGCATTATTGTTTTCTCTAGTGACTTTTGCCTTCTTATGATGTGCTAGAAGCACAACAGTCTCAGTTTTGTCATTTTTTAAGGGAAATCTCTGGCTTAATTTGATGATTTTTGATAGATTTTCTGAGAATTCTGATTGGCATGATTTGGTCAGACTTTGTATGATAGCCCCTTTCTTCTCATGCTACATTTTAACTAAATATTAGAACCATTCTGTTTCTTTTGATTTTGTTATTTCCAGAGTAAAACACTTTGTGTCTGTCTGATGGAAAATGTTCCATTTTAGTCCACTTTATCTCATTCATACAAATTACTCTGATGGTTTACCGTTTCATTTCTTGCCTTATGATTTCCAGTTTACCTTGATTCATACTTCTCATGTTCTGTGTCCCGAATATGTGTGTTGTGTGCCTTCAAACTTTTACCTCATACATGTCAGCCACGAGACTTCTTTTTAGCATTGATCAAGTTGCTTCATTAGTGTCAGCGCTTTTCATCCTTGTGCTTTGCTCTTCCCCAGTATCTGTTTGAGCGCCTTCTGATCTGGAAGTTCCATCTTCTGGCACTATTTCTTGTTTTCAATGTGAAAACAAGTTTCTCTGCCTTTTCAGATACCCATTACAGACACCCATTCTCTTCTGCTGATGTGCTTGTTACTCCTTGGGAGGCTGGTTGCATCCTAGTCTGATGGAGCTTTGACCATTCCATCTTGGATGGCCTGCTAGGAGACCAGCCTAATGAGAGAGTCCAGCCTCCTGGTGGCATTGCTCTTGGCTTCTCTGACACTTTCAGCTGCCCTTACCACATTATAGTGCACATCCAAGAGGGAGACGCAATTGGTAAAGTACCACAATGCCTCTTGTTTGAACCCTTTCCCTAAAATTAAGTTCAATTAATTATAGTTCAGAAAATTCTCATGTTGAGATTCAAACTATGCACATTCTTCCATATCTACCTTGCAATAATAATGATATGTGCTGTAAAAAGATCGAAAAGACAGAACAAAACTGCATGGTCCCTGGCCCTAAGTTGATAATTTAGAAGATACAAAAGGGACAAGAAGTCAACAGGAGACGAAGAAAATTTAAGTATGGGATTCTTCAACTTATATGAGCCTGTCTCACCATACACATTCATCTTTTGGAACTCACATTGGTGGTATGTTGTTCAGCTTTCTTTCACAGTAGCAAAATATGCATGTGGATATTGAATTCTTCCCCCCTCCATTTTGCTGTATCTAATTAAGTTGGAAATTATCTGTTCCATAACGACAGATCTCTAGAAAAACTTTCGCAGCAATTTTCTTCTGCAGTATTCAAACCAGAACTGTGTCTAAGGCATATTTACTAAAACTAATCCAGCCAGTAGGTGGCTGTATAACCCCAGAAAGCAGTCAGTTGCAGTCCCTACAAATCGCAACACTGACAACCTGGGAATTGCTTCCACTTGGCAACTAGGATGGGAGTCTGGCATAAGAGACCCGTCAGAAATACCTTAACTTTCTAAACCAGAAGTGAGCTTATCTTTATAACAGTAATGTAATTGAGACACAAAAATAACAACTTGCAGCAGAAGCAAACACAAAAGCAAAAAATATTAACTAGCATATGAAGCCAATATTTATACTCTTCAACGTGTATCTATGTCTTGCTGTTTAATAATTTTCTTCCCTACTGGAGAGAGTGTTCCTCCGGTTTAGAGAAGGAAAATTTCAAATGGTAAATATAACAATTTAGTTTGCTGGTTCTACAGTGCAAGTGTACCTTTAAATTCCCAAGCGTGTTGCGCTACCACAGGGAGCCCTCAGACCTGGTCAACAGAAATGATGATGAACAGGCAGGAAGCTACAGTGTTTTTTTCTGCATCAGGAAATGTATAGGTACAATGCAGAATGCTGGACTGCAATCCAGTAACCTTAGTGACCATGATGCATCAGTTGCTACTCCAAATTCTTTTCACGTATTTTATTGCTGTGGTGAACAATGCACACGATAACTCCTACTGAGTTCCACAGGGCTTATTCCCAAGTAAATGCAATGGGATTGCAGCCTAAATCAGGGTATCACAATGTCTTAGCTTTCCTTCCAGTCTTAAAATCAATGAACACTGAGGAAAAATGCAAATATAGTTGAAACCAACATCTAAATAATCCAATCTCCCTTGCTAAAATGGCCATAGTGTTAAAAAAATTCTACCACAGCTATCCTTAGAGTTATTCCCTTAGCAATGTTCCAGTAAAATTCCTAAGATTTCCTCTCAAGTAAATGGGTTTGGGATTTGGATAAAGCTTATGCTGGACTGAAACTAATGAAGTATCAAAAAGGCTACATGCCAAATTTAATGCATTTCAAATTTGAATTTTAATAGACTTCAGTTAATTGTATTGACCAACATAGAAGTGAAAGATACTGCTTTCCAGCTTAAACAGCCAGAGACTGATTTTTGCTACTTCAGCAGAATTTTTAATTTTCCATGGATCTCAGAAGCTACAACCAGGCCATCTCTTAGAAATGCCACAGTGATTTAGGCCTTTGCTTTGTACAATTGCTTACAGTCCTGTTGACTGCAGTGCCCCTAGCAATGTCCAATTTTGCCATCTAGTTACAAACTAGTTTGCTGTAATAGAGGAGGAGAAGTGGATTGCTAATGGAGGTCTGTGCATAGAGTGAAAGGGCACCCACAGCTTGGCAGCACTGCTCTTTTATCATATTAGTACAAAGCCTTCTGCTAACCAGTCAGAGGTGATGGGATACCAGAAAACTGGGCAGTCTGTAGATAATGGAAGAAGCTGCACGTGTGGCATGTATGCACGAACTGGCAGGTGGCATTCAGCATGCATCCCAGTTCTCATGAATCAGGCTTTGGCCATGGACAAAGGGGTTATTTTGACAGACTGTTTTTCCACATGTTGAAATTGAAAAGATGGATCCCATTTAAATGGTTTAGGGACATATTTATGTATAAACCACGCATTCAGCAGGTGCTTGCAACAGTCTTTGCAAGAAAGCATAGGATTTCAGAGCAGTCCGTTCCAAAGAAAGGGGTGGGAGGAAAACTGTAATGACCAAATGTTAACTGAGCTACAAATCTATTTTATGTGACAGTTTAAAGCAACTCCTCTCATGAGATCCACCTGTCAAAACTGGGTCAAGCTTGTTTGCATTCTTTGGTTTCATTGGCTCTTTCCTGGTGTACAGAAATCGTCTCACCTTTGGCAGGAGCAGCTGGACAAGGAGAGAAGGCTGCTGGGCCCCTGTCCCTTCATGAGGAGAAGGAAGAGGCGGAGGCAGAGGCAGGAAGGGAGCTGTAGCTTGGCAGTCTGCAGCAAGAGGCCCTGCCATTCTCGCTGGAACTGACACTGCTCAGGAGGCTTGTGCCAGTACAATGCCAATAAAAGCAACCCTAGGGCAAGCTCTTCTTTTCTGGGCATGGAACTGCAGCTTGCTTACTGCAGGGTTCCAGTTTCACACGCTGAGTCTGAAGCTTTCTGGCTGTTCCATCATTTAAATGATATATTCATCTTTGCTTTCTAAAGCCTCCATGCTTAATTGCTTGATGCCTCTTATTTTCAAGGATGGCCCATATTTGTATCCCATCAAATTTAAGAGGTGCCTCTATTTCAGATGCCACAAGTACCTTGTTGGGAAGACTGAGCTGGCATTCCAAGCTCAGCAGAAAGTGCGTTCTCTGACCTTTACTTATCAGGGACTGGAAGCTCTTTGCTAGCCATTTTTGATTTGGCATCTACAGAGGTCCTGTGTGTACTGTGCTGATGGATCCTCAGCCCTCTTGAGCTTGGGTTGAAGGCTCCTCACAACCACATTTACTGTGCTATCTGGGTCTGCTCGGCAAAGACGACCAAATTTCCCAAATGCGTATCCTAAAAAGCTGGCAAGAAGAATCCTGGGTAGCAGCCCTTTCCTTGTTGCATCCTACAGCTATAACAAATAGGTGTCTGTACTCTGAGCCCTGCAAGGTAGGACAGACCTCAGGAGAGCCTTTTTTGTGTATT